AGAGAGAGAGAGAGAGATTTACCTTGTCCAGTTGGTTGATGCCCTCCTCCACACAGCAGATGGAGGCCACAGTCCTCAGAGCGTGAGCGTACAGGTCTCTGAAGCGGTCCTGCCTGCAGATCTTGAAGAGGGCCACCACAGCTCCTTCCTATGAAATAAGACAAAGTAAAAATGTATAAAATGGAGTGTTTGACTTTTTCTTTGAGTCTCTGTGATAAAACTGTTATTGCATGTGAATATGGATATGGTACAATGGGGCATTGTGCTTAACTTCGTACCTAATTTTTAATCTCACAAGCCTTATGTATCGAGCCTGTATTATTATTATTATTATTATTATTATTATTCTTTATTATTATTACTTGCTCCCTTACTAAGGAGTAAATACAGGACCTCTATGCATAATGGACAGGACAGGTGTAGACACAATATTACTATAAGGTCTTTTTTAAAACCTGTTTGGGGACGATAAGAAACTATAATGGACTTAATCTAACACTCTACAGCCCCTTTCTCTGGGGCAAGGATACAGGGTAGGCAAGACAGGACGTATCAACACTATTTCATTTATTCACTAACAGGTAAATTTGGCTAGAGGAGAAAGAAGATTTTTTCTGTTTGTGAGTGTGTGTTTAATAAACATTTATACTCATTTTACAATTGATAAATTAACCCATAACATAAATTAAACCCACCCATATTGTGTATGAAGTGTATTGCCACTGGTGACCTGGTCTTTTGTGGTTTTTCATCCTATGTAGTCATTTTGCAGTCTTTATGTTTTACTAAAAACAATAAAAAATTACAACGATTAATCACACAAACTGCAGTATGCACAGGGTTCAAAGTTACAGCAAGACACAGGATTCAACGATATTTCTTGAGGACAGTGTACAGCTAAATTTGTGTTGATTCTGTCCTGCCTTTTCAGAGTCACGCCATGCTTATTAAACTATATAATTAATGAGGTTGAGCTCATATGCCTGCCATTTATTTGCTTTTGTTGCCGTTCTTTTATCCATCAGTATTATTAGTACATTCATGACGTTAGTTTGTGGCTGTTACATCAACTTCATACAGTCTGGCTCACTGATGGCCACACCCGCAGTTTATATGCCCAGAAACAGGAAACAGAAAAGAAACCTATTTCAGTCACAATCAAGCAGACTGTATGATGTCTCAACTCTGTCTCCTAGAAATTAGGTTTATATACAACTGGCTTACAATAGCAATGTGTTTTGAAAGAAATGAATCAGTAAAATGTTCTTTGACAGTGTATTTCATTTGTTTTCTGCCAAAAGATCCAGTCTTGCAATATGCACTTGTAGTGACTGACTACAGTGTTACTAAACTGCTTTTTATTGTTGTGTGTTTAGACACTGGCAGCACTTGGTTATGGTTAGGGAAAGATTAATTGAGAAAAAGTGTGCAGACACAATGTGTGCATGAACATTTAAGCAAAACCACAATCTTACCCTCTTCTTACCCAAAGCTTTTATTGCCTAAACCACAGACGAGACTCGTCTCATAGAGTTGACATCCTACGCTTTATATGCCCACCATCCACCCATTGTGGTAGATAAATGTAGGGCTTCATTCACACACTGCTGTCTGTGAATATGGGCAGAGATTACATTTGACACCACAACATAATTGGGGAAATATGTTTTAGGAGACAGGGTTGCATACTCATATATTGTTAATGTAAAAACAGTTGCATATTGTGTATTAATAAAATGCTTTAGAGCCCATAAGAATTCCACATAATGAGCTACTTGTGTAGATTAGCTCATCATAAGTTAATTTAGACAAAAAGGTAGCTAGGTTTTAGAAAGCAATTTCATTGAGAGTACAGCTCTTTTGAGACTTTCACAATCCTGACATTAGGCTTCACCAATTATACACCACACGTCATAGTGAGCTCTTGTCTTGAAGCACACATGATTTTGCAAAATGATGGATCAAATTGCTCCTGCTCTGTGAGAGCCAACAGGTCCCTCAGATCTAAGCCAACAGCAGCATGCTGGTTTTAAAGAGTCCAGGAGACCCGAAATGACCGATGGTTTTGGCCAGCTTTACTCAGCGAGCCTGCCAAACACAGAACATATCAAATGGCTCACACAATCTATCAAGTCAAATAAAAACAGCCAAAATATACATATTTCATGAATGGAAAACACTGGCCAGAAAAAAAAGATGATTCGCTAGCCATAATAGCTGAGCATTTTCTGTTGGATTATGCTTGGTGTAAACAAGCAAAAATAGCTCCTGTATTGGCTCCATGTCTACACTAAAGCACCCCTCTGACAAAAAACACTTGCAGGTATTGAATTCTATTCAGCGTGGAGATAGATAGAATTACCTGGAGGAAGACGAAGCTGGTAACTATCACCATTATCCTAATAAGGCCATTATACTGGGCTGGCATGTCTCATATGCTGCAAAAGGCCATGTTGCTGGGGCTTGGAGTGAATAATCATCCTGCCCTCCAGTCTGACCGCTCTTCCCTGTTCGCCACCTACGCAATATCGTTACACCATACCTGGAAGAACTGCCGACACACTGACAGACAGTTTTCAGTAAACCTTTCGAAACTCCAGAGAGGCTTGCAGGGTAATTCAAGCTGTGTTTGGGAAGCGATGAAGAGGCTGTTGATCCTGTTGTTTTTCTGTGATGCAAATGTTGCTTTAGCTTTCAAAAATAATGTTTAGAGTAAGTCTGTGGAGAATCTCCAAATGGTCTAATGTACATTTCAGCTTTAGTTCTTTGGTTGTAATTGATCATTTGGTCATATTTTTTTACTTTGAAGATAATAATGTTTAATTGTCTAAGCTTAGTTAGCTTAATACTGCTCCTGGATATCAAAGATTTCCAGAAACACTGTAACACCACCACAAATAAAACTATGGCACCTTTTCATGTATATCTACATTTGTCTGTTCTAAGGATTGAGGACTGTATTTCAAACTTTAATTTCACTCATGTTTGCCTTTACGGTCAAAATACTTAAACTATATCTCTACCCACCTGAATGTGACAGATGCATCTGAAGGTGGCAGAATTTAGGATCGTAGAATAAAAATGAAAAACTATTGCATAATTTTGTCTCTTGTTGTTGTTCATTTTGGATGGATTACCATGACATTTGGTACAGATATCCACGGTGCACATGAGATGAATGCTATGACTTTTGGGATCCACTGACTTTTCCTCTAGCACCACCACAAGGTTCACATTTTTGGCCAACGTGCACAATAGTAGCACCCTGACTCTGTTTGACCTGAATGGATCTGAACCTTAATTAGTGTCAGTGGTAGCACCTGGGTTTACCCTACTATTTCATGTTGTGTATTGTAACAACATTAGAGATCCCTTGACTGTGAATCTAGTGCCATCATAAGGTCATAATTTCAGTTTGTTGAATTCTGTGGTTTACAAAACACCTCTAAAGCTAATCAGTTGTTTGGACATAAAATAAACCAGTAATAAATGTGTGTGAAAGTTTTTTTCACTTGAAGACTAGTGCCTGCCTTCAAATGTGTGCTAATTTTATAGCATTTAACTACCTCTCCTAACCAAACCTTAATTTAGAAATGGATCTATTTGTTTCATCTTTATAGACTTTTTCCTGCTTTATTTTTCATAGATTGTTGTCGGTCGTTTCTTTCGCTTCTTCATCAAACAACTTGCAGTTCTATTGTTTCCACTGACTTCATCCTCATTCCGTCAATGAAGCCCATAGAACAAATTTGTTCTCACACTCATGCATTTCAGTACTTGCTGCACTAACATGATCATGTGAAACTTGACTACTCGTCTAAAAATGCCTCTCTGTGGGTTTGCATGTATGCTGGCCTACACAGCGTGTAATTTCTTTCCATCTCATAGTTTTCTGAAATAAACTCTGTGCTCTGGTCTGTTGTACTTGCTCACACAATGTCTGCAGTTTCTTGAGGTGCAAGAGGTTGCAGGCAGTTTACTTCTTGACTTGCAAACAAAACAAAAAGGTTGCCAGTAAAAGTTAAATCAATTTCTCAAGGGCCTCTTTGTATTATCATTACACTTGTTACACAAAGAAAAACACTTAATTTGGGGTATGAGATACAAAGGGCATGAGAGAGACAAAGATAATATCATCTGTTGTACTGTATTTCTAAATGCCTCTGCCCTCTCTTCCCACATAGTTTTGATGACACGCTGCCTTGCAGCAGGCCTTAGTTATTGCCATGTCATGCTCTCACACCCTGCAGTCTAAAGCCTTCAGAGTTAGAGGAGCAAGGACACACACACGAGGAGCCAACATGGACACATTTAGGTCAGTATCCATCATGACATTAGGTACACACTGAGACAGCAAACTCACTTGCACATCATGAAACAGCCACTTTCTAATATTCCAGCTGCTGTTCGATTTATGAGGTGGCACACCTCTGTATTGGACTTCTGTCTCCTCAGAGGCCAAAGACATGCAGCTCAAGTAAAAAAACAAGAATCTAAATTATCTGGAAGTATATTGAAAATCTTTTTTAGATAACTATGTGAGATCTGAAACATCTATTTTTTTTGTTTTGTCATTATGTGTGTGTAATCAAGTAAAGGCAGATATGGATGGTGTTTGGCAATAATTTGTATGATTTGTTTTGACCTGCTTGGCGTACCACATGGGCGCAGATTTTTCAGTCGTGACAAATCAGTCACGATTATGTGATTAGTCACGGTCTGATTCTGAATTACAGAAACGCGCACACATACACAGCAGAATGAAACATTGAATCTGTTTTGGAAACGTGAATTTGTGCTCTCTTTTCATTATTATTGTGCATACATATGCAAACAATTTAAATAATTAATCCACAAGTAAATTAAACAACCATTTTTTAAGTATATAATTTATTTATCTCCCACAGAAAGTTTCTCACTCATTTGCCATAATCTGTTTAAATGTAATTTATCACAAAGCTTATTAAAATCTGCTATAACCAATATTTTTATATTAGCAATTGATCAAATCACTACTTGTATGTGAAAGGAGTCACTTGTAGAGACAAATTCAAAGATAGTTATCACTGGACACTGCCTCTCAGTGCTAATATGTTTTTTAAGCATCTTTCAGCTCATTGTTTTGGTTTTACGACCTACAGCTTTACAGTTTTTGTTCAGTCTGACCAATCTCATATTTCTGTTTCCAGCAGCAAGCAGCAGTTTCTATAAAAAATCTCTGATAAACCCACTGTGTGCTACATGGCCAGCACCAGAGCCAGATACCACAGGAGTTGGTGGAGACCACACAATAATAAAAAGAGCAAGTGCATATTGAACTTAATTCACCTGGTGGCCAGAAACATAACTCAAGACAAATGATGTGTATTTGCTAACATGTCTATCATATATGGTGATAAATATAAGTTACTCAACCAAAAACATCTATGAACGTAGCTATAAGTACCTAAATCTATCACAGGTTACACTTTAATGTTTATTATACTCTGCTGACAGATAGATTCTTTTTGTAACATTTCAATAGCTTATTACTGATATTACACCACTGCGGTTGGTTTAGTTTAGGTACAAAAACATCTTGGTTCAGGTTTGTTCATGAATTGTCACATATACTCTATAGATTATCAGTTAAACCAACAGACAAATTGAAACAGTTTAAATGTTACAAATACTTTATCTGTAGGCGGATTATTATTTTTGACAATTCACAAAGTATGAATTTGAAGATTACATTTGAATTCTTATAAAAACCCAGTGGATGACTGTATGTCAAACCTAACAACAAGCCTGTCATGAAAGTTGATGTATTAGCAACAAATAATGAGCAACATGGGCAAAAGCATCAGCTGTTGTCATAATGCTAGCTAGATGGATGTTAATACCTAATTACAAAACAGTACTCTCATTTTCCCTGAGGAGCTGCCACCACCTTTAACTGCCTGGTATCCATTATGCTTTTCAAATTAAACACTTCCCATCTTACAGCAGAATGAAACCAAGAGGAAAAAAACTCATATCTACAAACCTATTTAATCCTGGATATACACAATGATTCATCTTTATTTATCATGCTGCCTGCTTCAGTACCAGACATCTAACCTAGCTCCCTTCTCCTCTCCATATGAAGCACATCAATCACTAAAAACTGTCTATCAACAGCAACACTGTTAAAGAGACGGAGAAGCTGGAAATATTGGGTGCCCACGCATGTGTACAATAGAGCCATGTTATTCAATAACTCTCCACCTTCTTTCACACACCTTCTTTGTGTGGGATAAAGTGTGAGTTTACTGCTTTCTGCATATGTTGCTATATCTAAATGGTTATTTGTAGATTGGATGTGACTGACTAGCATATTGGTAAATTCTATAATTGTCACCTTGCTTGTTTGCCTTGAGACTTCGGATATAATATTGTGTGTAAGTGGACAGTGCACATGGTTTGTTAAATTGTTTCTTTATTATGTAGTCCTCTATAATTTCTGAGGTGCATATTTGTTTTGTATGATGTCACGTATCGAAACTGTATGTTTTTTCTGTTTATGTGTAGAAAACCATAACTGTTAAGTCTGATGATTGCTTCTATTGCTCTACATATGTGCATAGTGGCAATAAACATCAGTTGTCCCCCCTACATTCATCGATGTGCTATGGTGATGTTCAATTTCCTGTGAACCAATCCTATAGAAAGATTTTACAGCATGAGTAAAGCCAGCAAGCTGCGTAAAATGATAATGAGTGAAGAGCTCGGATATGAGCCAGAAGATACACACTAGTCCTGTAAAGGGTGTGTATGTGAGAGGGTGACGGACAGACTGGCGCTAGGTAATTAATTCAGATGGCAGGTGGAGGATGTTTTGTATTGGGTATTCATTAGCAGCCATTGACAGGCAGGTTTACTTAAGACACCTCTCTGAGGGCTCGACCAGCGGCGCTACAGAGGGAGTTAGGTAAGGTGGAGCAGATTGAAAGGTAAAGATGCCTGAGCAATCTGCATTTGTGATCAATGCTTACTCCTAATGGGAGCTGACAGTATTGATCTAAAAATCTGGCAGTAAAGGAGGAGTGTGTGTTATTATATGTGTGTGCGGGCCATCAGGAAAAGTCTTATCAAGAGTATCCTGGAAGCAGTCGGCTAACTAATGTGCAATTGCGACTTGCTGTCTGGTCTGTCTTGTCTTATCTCACAGTGAAATGGCTTTTTAGAAGCATGTATAAAGAGATAGCTGCAGGTCTGCATGATGAGCACTGGCAAAAGGTGGAGCTGATCATAGCAGGGGTGTGTCTAGAATGAAGCAAGGGGTGGAGATGCAATATCAAATGTAGCTGCCTCTTCCAAAGTCTGGGTGGGGGGGCCGTGTGAAAATCGCAAACCTAAGAACATAATACATCATGCTGCTGATTTGTCACTGACGTCAGGATCTCCAACCTCACAGGTTTTTGCACAATGAAATGCGTCAGTGGTTTATCTCAGACAGATACATTTCAGTGCGTGTTGGCAGTCCCAATCCTGCTCCACCCAAATGACCAGGGTGGTGTAAACCATTGTTAGCAGCACCAAAGCAGTACAGTGTCCACCATGTCCACAGTACCTTGGCAATGATGCTGCAGAGCTGAGGTCCATCCTGGGTGAGGGACAGTAGGTTGCTAATGGCACTACCGATGGTGTGAACATTGTCTGATGAGTCAATCTGTTTGATCAGGACCTGCACGGAAGAGCAAACATTGCCATTTTTATCACGGACCCAGAAATGCAATTCACATTGTCAGTAGCTGGTGCCGTTAAATAGTGTTCAGGTATCTTTAAAGTGTTTTTTTAAAGACACTAATTTCTTTGGTTATTTTAGTTAATTAGTTATTTTTCTGTAATCATAGCATCTTTCAAATGATCCTCACAAGTAAAGTTAAAATTTCTTTTACCTTCCATGAAAATCCAAGAACTTTAGAAGTTATTAAACCTATAAATAGTAATAAATGCTGTGTATATTAACTCTGTCTCGCTGAAGATGATGTAGTCCTGTCCTGCATGTTTACATTTCAATTCAACCTTTTATACTGTAAGTGAATGAACTGGGTAACATTGTTATGCACATGCACCTGAGGCTTAGTTAAAAAATCGCCTCAATTCCAACACTTGACAGAAGACATGTGGAGGGGCTAAAATAGAAATAAATTTCTACATATAGAAGGAATTTATTGGATGAATATCTCAGGGGTTATAATTCATTTGCATACCCGAATCTCATTGGCTAAAGCCATGTCAATCATGTTGCTGAAGGAATCACTGACGTCTGTAAGGATTTCATGGATGGCCTCCCTCATGGACTTCAGGAAGAATTCATCATCAGTGTGGAGGCACCTGTAGGCAAAGGGACATTTTAGATTATGTTCCACGTAAACATACTTTTCAAATTTTTTCCTATGATTGTCTGTTGTTTTTTAGAGTTTTACCTCTCTGTAATATTGGTCAGCTCCATACATTTTTCCAGCAGAGATTTCTCATACTGCAACAAAATAAAAAGAAGAAACATATAATGCTGTGATAAAACACATACAAAGAAAGACACAGATGAAGATAAATGGCTTTGTGTTTGTTTATGCTATAAAAATAAATGAGAAAAAAACTATCTGCAATCAACAGAGCAGCTCCATGAAACAATATAGCAAGACCAGAATGTGCTCTTTACACATTGTTGCTGTTTTGTCTTGTTATTAACTTATGGCACTGTCACCTGCCTGGCCTTTGAGATCAAAAACTGAGGGACACAGCATTGTTGTTGATTATTTGTCTGCAAAGATCTGATCACTTTAGAATCTAATTTTCAAGCTTTGTGTACGATGGCCCTGAGAGCTCAACCCATTACAACTTAAGAAACAAATGAAACAAGCTTTTGCCATAATCACTGATGACTGATATCAATCTATTCGTGGAGGAAATATGATTACAAATTTTTCACTGAATGAATTTGAAGATTTTTTTAGTTTTGCAGTGACCCCGCAGTTGATGGCTTTTGGACTTTATATTGTTAGAGTTGTGAGTCAAAGCAAGATTCTAAAATTAGACTATTTTATTTTTACAGCATGAACAATCGTTGTGCCAGGAAGTCTCAGTGCCTGTTTTTAAAACTTCAGCGCATTATCTTCCTTTGTAGCTTCCTACTTTGTGACTTTGATGTTTTAAAAGCTTTAATAAACACCAAACTGTCTTCACATGTCAAGTCACCTTCTGCATCTCAGGTGGTGTGCTTCGGGCGGCGCTGTACTCATGCACCAGGGAACGCACGTGGCAGTTGGCCCTTACGGCTGTGCTGTGGACCCTCTGCCAGCGCCCTTTCTCAAGTCGCTGGAACATCTTGCCTAATTCCGTGCTGACCACCAGGGCGCGGCGAAGGAGTGTCTGCAGGTTGTTCCTGGCCACGTGGTCCCCTGCACCGACCCCGGACGCCACAATCAGCTCTCCCTGCTGAGAGTCCTCCTCCACCCCGATGGGTTTGGCCTGGAGGACACACATACACTCTACCTCTGTCATGTGGCGGAGGTCCTCCATCCAGCGCTGGACTGAGTCGACCTGGAGAGACTGCATGCGGGTACTGTGAAAGAAATGAACACAGAAAGATAAAGCAAGTCAGAGATAAAGATGGGTGCATCAGGATGCTTGTTTCCTGCATTTGTCTCATTATCTGATTATCTTTATATACTCTGTTTGCATGTGTTTATAATGATGACCTAGTTGGATAGATTCGGCCTCTACTGATGAAAATTCAGCTTCCTGCTTCTGAAATGATCTGGTGATGGGAAATCAACATAAATTGACTGGTTTCATAGAATTTGCTTATTATTGTTATAAAAATGAAAAGTACAAATTCCTGCACAAACCGAACTACATGGATTGCAAAAAATCTACACGTATCATACAGATACTTATGTTGAGGACAGTATTGTATGAGATCTGGGAAGTCATTTGTGCTGACTGGCCTGCTGACTAAAGCCTGAACTGATTTATATGAGAAAACTTTAATCATCTTTGCCTCCTCCACAAGAAACAACATGCTTAATCAGTAGAAAACTAAGGAAGTGGTTACTCATAAATTCAAACTGGTTATGAGGACAATGACAGATCATTTAACTTGGCTGTGCCACCCTCGTCCTTTCTGTATATCATTCATCCTTCTTTTTCCAATTGTTTCTTCAATTTTATTAGAAAGTAAAGGTTGTAGCACAGATTTGAAACGACAAAACAAAACAATAAGAGAGATATTTGATATTTGAGGAGTTTTGAGGATGGTGCTTCTTTGTAATCACCTTTCCAAAACCAAAAAGACTACAGCGAAAGTGTTTGTCTGCTCTGACATAAGCTACTAACAATAGCATGCCTAGCTAACAAGTTACCTATACAAGTAACGTAGCATTAAAAACTACACACAGCTTCAGAGTCTGTGAAGTGAAGCCTGATTTATTTTTTACAGCTCCATGCGCTGCAAAAAATCTGATAGTATTGAGTCCTATGGGGACATGACCCGACTTCTCACTTGATTTATTACCTCATTAAACAGTTTCTTGACGAGTTTACAGTTTTAATCTTTAGTTTCAAGTCTTATACAGTTTTTTAATGAGGGTCCCATTTACAGTAAAATAGACATTTAAGCAGGGTATGCTTTAGGGTGTGGCTACCTTGTGACTGACAAGTCATTCTCAGTGAGTGTGTCCAGCGCAATGCACGAAACTCAGCTCGAACTGTCAAACTAGGCAGTGCTGAATATGAATCAAGATTTTGTTACTACATTTCTCGCTTAAAATCTTTTCAGAAACATATTTTAGTGTACTGTTTATCTGTAATGCGAGAACGTCTGTGACCTGCCATTGTTTCCTGCTACGGAAGCGCACCAACTGAGCACAGATCCACTGGCAGTGCATCACCGCCACTGGCTGCAAAAAAACAACATGGCAACAACAAAGATAATGCCAAATTCAAGGCTTCACTTCACCAAAAACCAATGGGTGACGTAATGATAGGTTCATACTTGTTCCAAAAGTGAGTCCCATATAAAAATGTCCGACTTAACAGCAGAATTAAACATGTTTACAGCCCGGTACAAATAAACCATTTTGGTCTCTATAGGTAATTTCTTCATTCGTGAATTTTTTGTAATTATATTATTATATTAAGGTTTAAAGTGTCCAGTGTGTAGGATTTAGTGACATCTTGTTGTAAGCTTTAAACTTCGGCTTGTCTCTCTTTCAGTCTGAATTTGCATGATATGCAGTGTAGCCATCAAATGCACATTTAAGACCATTTCATGGTTTTTATTGTCAAATGAGTCAACTGAAAATCAACTCACAGAGTTAATGTTAGTTAGCCAGTAAGCATAGTTAATACAATGTGCTAGTGACAGTTGTCATTTTTGTCTGTACAATCAACAGTTGCCAACTAAAAATTAGTAGGTTTTTGTCTACTGCTGTCTATTAGGGATTATCTAGGACCCATTGTTTAATAATTTATTACAAATTGTGAGAGGTAAATCTGCCACTGTTATCGGTATAAACTGCTTGGTAAATTGTAAAGCTAAAGGTGCAGGGTCAGTTCCAGATTATTAATCTGAGAGTGATGTGTTGTTTATTTAATGTCAAAATCAAATGAACCACTCTGCTTTAAAAGTTGGAATAAAATGCTGTTTTTCGTGAGTATGTGAGTCTAAAATTATCATTTGAGCCCTCATACATTGATCATAAAATCTCCATTCCTCTCATAAAATTCCATCTATGCCACGCAATCAGAAGGCAAAAAAACAAAACAAATAAAAACCCACAGCATTCCTAAAATCAATGATGTGCACTATGGGTCAATTATCCACCTATAACTGCCAGTTTCCATGTTTAACCTGTCATTTTCCCTCAGCATGGGGACGGTTTTAATAACGGGCTGCACGAGCAAACACTCCTGCCCACTTCAATCTCTCCCAGCATTGACCCGGCAGGCTTAAGGGAACAAACCAGAGTCCTGCACCCATCGAGTCAAAGCTCCCGGAAAGTGGACGGGTCGATGGCTACAACAGCCACCTCTGCTTTGAGTTAACACATGGGAAAGGGTCTCTAATGAAGCCTGATATTTTCCTCTTGGCTCTCAATTGTCTGCAGTTTGCTGGGAATGGCAGCTTGTTGGAGACATTGGTAAAGTGCATTGTTATTGAATATTGGTTAATCTGGTTCAAGAGAGACATTGTGGTTGTGTGTACACTCAAAACAAAAATTTGTCATCGTCCAGCAAAAATATCTTAGGCAGGTATTGGGTTTCAGCTTTTAGTCAGAGCTGGTTACACAAGACTGAATCACTGGAAAGCCACAACTCCAATTATATTTAATCTACTATCAAACCATACAGAGGGCAGCTGTTTAGTGAAGAAAATCAATGTGGAGTTTTGTTAAGGTCAGAAAAAGGGCTCATTCAAAGCTGAAGCACATTAACATAGCTGACACGTGAAGACATGAACATAAATTGCTCTTCTTAAGCAGCCAGTTTTACTATAATAAAAAAAAGAAAAGGGAAAAAATCTGAAGAAAATTACAATTAAAAGGTTTGCTATACAGGGAAACTAACAAAATAAACTTGCAGAGAGCTGAAATTGGTGGCAATGATAAAAAAGTAGATTGATAATGATGATAAGAAATTATATTAGAGGTGAAACCTTTTTTCAACAAAATGTATCTGTTCACATTATTTTGTCTAAGCACATTTTTTCCACTTGCACTTTTTTGAGTAAAATATTGAGAATGGAGCACAAATGTACACACAGACACACAAATGCACATGCTGTGTATATGTATATAAATTGTACATTCAGTCAATCATCTGTTAGTTGAGGAGGCAGAATAACAATGTAAAAGTAGTCAAATCTGTAGGTTGCAGTGTGAGGAAGCTCACCAGCTCAAAACTCTCTCCAGCAAATAAATGTCCCTCAATTTGGAAAAGGATGAAGGTGTAATTAGCTGTAAATGTAGACTAAAATAAATAACTGCACACTGTTACACAGTGTGGTAATCATTAATGTGCAGCTTGTTCTGCTAAGTGGGGTAAATGGCTTCATGGTGATCATTGTGACTTCTGAAAATGGATGAGATATGATATTTAGTTCAAAATTTAGCCGATTAAAGAAATAAATTTCATCTAAATGTTCCTTGCAAATAAAATACTACTGAACCATGCTTCAGGTTTTTTCTCATGTTCAAAAACCTCTTAAAAACCACTCCAGTTCTCAAAATGTCTCCTGTTAGGGATTAATCATACAGTGGTGAAGAACACAGTGACTCAAACTAAATTAGCAACAAAGAGCTCACAGAGTCACTGCCATGGCTGAAGAGGACATGGAAAGAGTTCTCAATTCTTAATTTGCAACATTCCCCTATACATTACACCCAATTAACTTAATTAACATTTTTTGTGGGAGACCAACATGGAGGACACAGAAACAGAGAAAATGTACAGACTTGAAATTTTTGAACAGGCTACCTAAACAATCTAAAATGTGCAACAATATGCAAAATCCTCTTCATATCCGACCCAATGCGGCCATTTAAAAACATTTTCCACAGTTATATAAAAGCATCACATACGGATGAACCCATCTTGATTTACACGCCCATCAAGCCACAAAACCTTCCCCTTACCGCGGGGGGAAAAGCGGATGATAATAATAGGCTTGTTTTCCAAAGGAGGGAAAGCGGTGCACTTCAGCTTGCAGGGAATGACAAATATTTACATGCGGGGCCAAGAGAGGGTCAGGCGAAAGCAGCTCTATTATCCCAAGCAGGGCTCCTGTGGAGATGAAGCATCACTCTTTCTCATCTGCTGGTGTCTGTCAGTAAACTGAGCAACGGTGGCAACAGCAGGAGCTGGTTAACAAGAGATATCCTTGTTTTTGTTTTAAAAAATGCTACTGCAAGATTTAAACATATTTTTACACCAGGCTTGGAAGTCTATTAATTTCTCTGTCTGTGTTTGATATTAATTTTCTCTGTGTATTATGGAAAAACAGTTTTTTAAAACATAATTGTGAGTGGAATCTCAATTTAATCAAGCCAGATTTATTAAACAAATGTGAGTTGAAATGACTTGTAATGCTCACCTGAATTTTGCAAGTCAGTCATATTATAAGACAATATATAATTCAAGCCGGGGATATCTGAAGGAATGTGTGGTTCTTTCCTACATGGCTGCCTACACAGCTCTCAATAAAACTTTATGGAGTGCCAGAACTTTTAGTGCCAAAGACATGAGAGGGAAGACAAAAAGTGAGAGGCATAACACATAGTTTGTTTTGGTCTTTTCATGGGATTTGTTGACAGTTACAAAAATACAGAATAGAATCAGCAGCTTTATGCGTTAAAAAGATGATTGAAATGTGCATGCTAAAGAATAAATAATTGGAAAAGGAATTTAATTGATCTAGGTGGGATTGTAATGGGTAAACGCAACATTTAAAGAACATGAACCATGTAAAATAAATCTTGAACTTCAGGTAGAAAGAGCAAAAGGCTAAATTACATAACTTTTGTATGAAAACAAAGATTGAATACAGATATATGTCGGAAGTGA